TGTGTGTGTGTGTGTGTGTGTGTGTGTGTGTGTGTGTGTGTGTGTGTGTGTGTGTGTGTGTGTGTGTGTGTGAAACCCTCGATTGCACTTCACTGACTGCTTTCATTCATGTGGCCTCCACCAAGTTTGTTTAAAGAGTTCAGTTGCTGAATTCCTCAACGAGGAGCACCATCCCTTCCCCCAGCTGCCAGCTGCTCTTGCCTGCGATCAGAAATCCTTGCATAAACAATGATTAGCTGTAATCAGTGTGTGTCCATAACAGTTACTGCATGTAACATTATTATTTTTGTTTTCTCAGCCCACAGTTTTTCCCTATGAAGATTTTGATGTTGTTGCTGACATCAAGGCCATTCGCAAAGCCTGCAAGGGGTTAGGTAGGTTGTGAATATGAGGAAAACGGTACATTATTTAATTAAACTAGTCTCTTTAAACTTTGAAAGGATGCATCTGATTTCTCTGCATCTGATCTGTTGTGACTTCTTTTCAGGAACTGATGAGCAGGCTATTATTGACATCCTGGCAAACCGGAGTTCAGCTCAGCGTCAGGAAATTAAACAGGCCTATTTTGAAAAATATGATGACGTGAGTGCCATTTGACATGTTTCTCATTTCAAATGTGTAAGAAACATTTTTTTTATGTTTCTGCTAAAATCAGCATGTCTGTCTGGGATAGGAATTGGTGGATGTGTTGAAGAAAGAGCTGTCAGGGAACTTTGAGAAGGCTGTCCTTGCCATGCTGGATCCGCCGGTTATCTATGCTGTGAAGGAGCTCAGGAAGGCAATGAAAGGTCCGGGCACTGATGAGGACGTCTTGGTGGAGCTCCTCTGCACCGCTACAAATGCTGTAACTAGCAAAATATATATTTATATTGACAATCATATTGCAATTCAATTTCAGAGGAAATGTCTAACTTCCTACTTTTTTTTTAACAGGACATTGCCATGTTCAAGGAATGCTACTTTCAGGGTTAGTACAATAAGCAACTTAGCAGTTTTTAAATCTCTTCTCCTTTTGATGAAATTACTAAGTGTGAGTCATCAACCTACACCTCATACAGTAGCTTATTATTTTTGTCTCTAGTGCTATGTCACATTTTGTTTAGTCAAGGCCCATCCTGTTTCCACTTCCCTTTCATTAATGTGCTGGCGCTGAGAGTTGATTATACTTACCACTATAGCTGGCTATATCCTCTGTGGTTATAGGCACTGAAATCTTATGAGTTTTGAACAGAGTAACCTCTGTTTAGTTTTCTTTTTATAATTATGCATGGAAGGAATTACATCATCATTCAAGTTTGTCATTGTAATTTTCTACAGAGTGCGTATGATTATTTAAGAGTTTGTTTTATTAGGATTTAGAATGACTAGAACATTCTTTGGTTGATGTGTTTGATGGCTTTTAATCAGCCTGTGGATATGCTGGTTAGCTGAACAGATTATTAGCATGCTTTGTCCTTGTTCTTCGGGTGAACTAGCTAATATGCTATGTTAGCACACTGATAGCTAAAGCTTACATTTTATAGACCTGAGCGATGACTTTGCTGACTTTGCTAGATATTGTTGTTTTACTTGGGACAGCATAAAGCTAGCACAATAGCATATGCAGGGCACACTGCTAATAAACGTATAATGAGAAAATTATTAAATGTAATAGCAAGCTTCCATATAGTAGTCAAGCACCATGTTATAGTTATCAAATGTTTTATTGATGCTTTACGGGCCAATAACGAATAGCATAAGAGATAGATAAAACACAAACAGCAATTCAACAGTAGTTCAACAATTTTTATTATTAATTTATTAATTATAATAAAATAATAATAAAATCTTATTTTCTCACTTCAAGTAAAAGAAGGTTTGTATTCAAAAATAAAAAGGCTGGTTGCAAAATCTTTAAATAAGTTCTCTTCCTGTTTCCATACATTGAGTGTAAACACAAAGGAAAAAGGCTGTGCAGGTTAATATAACTGTGACAAATGTTGCACAGAGTAAAATAGAAATGGTCAGACAAATCTAGAAAGACCACTAGATTTGTCTAGTAATTGGTCTGTTGGTCACCTCAGCTATAAAGAATAATAGCTTGTTAGAAAGATGCCATCATTCCAGTGCCCAATCCTAATAGTTTAGAGTGCTGCCCCATTTAACCAGGACTATGACCAAGTATGTGAAAATATTTACTTGAGTCATGTGCTCTGCTTCCAATATTACTTGTGAAGCTAACTAAGCAGCTAACTGCACTACTTCACTTTACACTATTAACTAGTTTTCTGATTGTTGCTGTACACTTTTATGCACAGCAAGGAAATGAGAATAGGTGAATGGTTGCAGGAAATGGCTAAAACGGTGGATGAAATCTAGGAATATACTAACATAAAATACTATCCAGAAAACACCAACACACTTGTATCGTATGGTAAAAGAATATCTGGTGGTCCTCATGCTTTGTGACTTTTCTCGGTGTCACTCTTGCAGTGCACGAGCGTGATCTTGAAGCCGATATCGAGGGAGATACGAGCGGGGATGTTAGAAACCTTCTCACAGCTCTTTTGCAGGTAAGTGGCCCTGAGTTTCTACTCTACTCGTGTAACTAAATTCCTCCCATCTGTCCCTGGACTGAAATCGAGCTCACTCTCCCTTCGCCAAACCATGCCATGTGAACACACACACACACACTGGCCAACATCCAGACAGCCTCTCACGAGTAAAACGGAGCCCAGATAAAGTTGCGTGAGTCAGATAAATAGACCTCAGTAAGGACCAAAGTCCTCTTAATTGTCTTCTTCCAGGGCAACAGAGATGAGAGTTATGAGGTGGATGAGAATTTGGCTGAACAAGATGCTATTGCCCTGTTTGAGGTACAGTTTCATTTTTAAATTATTCATAATGGCATCGTGGCAGATTTATTGACCCTGAAAAACATTAATATTCGCTGAACTGATGCAGGCTGGTGAAAGCCGTTTTGGGACAGACGAATCCACTTTCACCTACATCCTGGCCACCAGAAATTACCTGCAGCTCCAGGCCACCTTCAAGATATATGAGCAGGTTGGTATTTGTGCCCACTGCTGCAGTGATATTGCATATATGCTTGCACATATCACATCACTGTTTCCTGACACCTCCTAACAAATCACTACATAAGAAATATTTGTATATGGAAAGTGAAAGGTTACTCTGTAAGACATTTACAGTGCTTAACTCAGCTAGTTATACTCTCTCAACAGCTCTCTGGAACAGAAATCCTCGATGCCATTGAGAACGAGACTGGAGGGACACTGAAAAAATGCTACACTGCTCTCGGTTAGTATGAATTAGAAAGCTGTCCATATTAAAATCTATGATTCTAGATTTGATTTAATTTGATTAGAAGATTAGAGAAGCAGTGGTAGCATCAAAATCACATGGCAAACTGCTAGTTTTTTGTATACTAGATGACAGGAAAGTACGTTGGGTAAACTCCTATTGTGCTATGCAAATAAAAGTTTGGTGTTTAATAAGCATATTGAAGAAAAATAAATTGTTGCTGCAGGAACATATGGTTCATAATCTGCTGTGGAATTTAATGAAACCCTTTCCTCCTCCTCACAGTAAGAGTTGCCAAGAATCCCCAGCTTTACTTTGCGAGACGTGTGAACAAAGCGATGAAAGGAGCAGGCACTGATGAGGACACCCTGATTCGCATTATTGTGTGTCGCTCCGAGGTAATTCCGCTAATGATGCATGAACTTGTTTATAAGAAGGGGCCAAAGACTGTCAAGCTAAAATACACGATAAAAGATGATTAAAAACATTCACAACATGCTGCGATTACTAAACAGCTCACTGATTATTACATCTGTTTTTACAGTATGCATGTTCTTACACTTTAAAGTCACTTATAAGACTGTTCACTGCCATCTTCAGGCAAACTCTGGTAAATCCTGTCCCCTGGTTTATGTTAAGATACAAACGTATAGTATACAAGACATTTTTAAATGCTAATCAAAAAGAATTCAAACAAGTGCAGAATGTGGATCAGAAATCTACTCCAGAAAATGTAAATGATTTAGGCCCCAGTCACGTAGGTTAGAGACCAGTTGGCAACTGCCTGGCAACCTTTTGTCACTATGGAAAAATTTGTATTCTAGATAAATTATGAGTAGTTACTTTAGGTTTCTGACAGTCACTGTGAAACTGATGTATAAGCCCTACTCACAGAGATTTAAAGTCCGTAACGTCATGGTAACCACTGGTTGCTAGAGAAAAATGTATATTCCCAAAGTGGTTGGCAAGTGGTTGCAGATGACTGGTGGCTCTAGCTTTGTAAAAACTGGTTGCAAAAACAGGTATATGTTGCTGCAACTAAAACTTCTATGTGATTGCTTTGGTCACCGCAGTTATCAGCAATTTGCATAGAAGCACCATTTCAGAATCAACTCCCGGATGTTACCTAGTGATACTGGGCAGTACTCCCAGTAACTCCAGGTTGTCGATGCCACACCGTCTTTGCGATCACTTTCACCCAGTAACTTATAGTGACTGCTAATCAACCAGTTGGGGAATACACACTTTTCCCTAGTGACCAGAGGTTTCTAGGGAATCGCTGGCCTGTCTCTAGGCCTGTGTGAGTGAAACTTTAAACATGAGTTTGTCTTCTCCACATTTGTTAGAGGGTCAAGTTGAAACTGATTATTTCCATCATATTATATTTGGTAAATTCCCATGAGTTGACTTCTGGCAGGCTCGACATAAAGGCTAATTTAATTTTGTGGTTCTCTTTTTTTTCAACAGTATGATTTGGAGACCATCAAGGACATGTACCTGGAGAAGTATGATGTGTCCCTTAAGGACGCCCTGAGGGACGAGTGCAGCGGTGACTTTAAGCGCCTCCTTCTCGCTATCTGCCACTGAAAGCCAGAGAGGCAGGCAGGAAGGACGCGGGTTGTCTGGTTAACAAACTAACTTTACCCGGTCTCTCTGTATGATATTGTGACCAGAGCAGGAGGGTAGTGGGGCGATTAAATAATTAACTTGGCTCGTGTCTTGTCCAAACTGACTTACTGTTAATGTGGTTGGCTCTCTATTTTACCTCCTTCACAGACGCTGACCTTGATTCTCTTACTTAGAACTTATCAGTGAGTGAAGCTGTGTCTCACAATTACTGCCCATTTCTTAGTCAATTTTTAATCTTTAATTAACCAGCATTTATATAGTGGCCAGTATAAAGCACCAAGATTTCTACAACACAAACAGGAGCCAGCTGTAGTCACACTGAATCAATTAGATCGAGCGTGGTGTGATCAGGTGGCTTAAGACTTGATAAGATAATGACGTTAAAAACATAAGACCCGTATTTACTTCACTACCTGATTCTCTTGCATTCACTAATCTATTAAGACTTTCATGTAAGTATTATGCTTCTTTAGATCAAATACTTCTTTGAAGTTTTTCAGCCTCCGTGCCCCAAACTGTGCCTGTTATAACTAATGCAATCAGTCAGCATGGCTTTGTGCTTTTAAATGAAGAAATGTGAAATTTCGAGTTGAAGGAGTATTAGCTGGCATTATGAAGGCTATGCAATGCAATGGACTTGAATCTGAACTGTTCTCACAGCAGCGGTTATATATTTTATCAGTTTCTCATTGAAATAAATTATATATTGATATATATTTAGTTGCAAAAAAAAGGAATTGACAAATCCAAATACACCTCTCCTTGTTATACATGTATTTTATTTTTTTTTAATATTTTATGACTAACAAAGAAGAGTGTTTAATACGGAGCATTATTTAGCATACTGCTTAGAATAGACCAGAGGGTGTGTGAAAAGAAATCTGATCGTGATGTTCAGGTTGATTTTTAACATGTGGAGAATCTGATGTCTGTGTCACTTGTGTGTCCGTTAATGGCAGCTGAGATTTATTCTTATGAGTGACCACTATTATAAACATATTGCAAAAAGATACTCAAATGACTTACAGCACATGAGATAGTCACAGCATCAGTCTGCTTATTAGCTTCTATATAGCCAAAGAATTTTAGTCTTACTGCTAATAAAGTTTCCTTTAATGTCATCATGTCTGACTTTATTCATACCTCAGTAATCCAAATGGCCTGGAACATGAACACTGAACATGTTACACTGAATGGGAAAAGGCTTACTATCATTTTATGTTCCGTGAAAGGAGACCCCACCTTCAAGTTTGTCACCACCCCTTTGCTGCTTTCGAGGACAGTGGGAAATATGGTAACAGCACGTAAATGTAATTTAATTTAGGAAATCAAAATGGGAAATGTTCACATGTAAAGAACACAGTTAACCAAGTTGGGAGGTAAGTGTTGAGCTTTCTTTTATTAACCTCAAAATAGCTTTGAGATTGTAAGAATATTTGTTGTAACTTAACAAACACATTAACTCTGTGGATAAAAAAATAAATAAAAACCAAAGAAAATAGGTTACTATTGTTGTGTGCACTGAGGAAGATGGAATCCTCAGTAATGAAATTTACCAGAAACCCCAGACACAGACAAGTACCTACTCTTTGACTCACACTGGAACATAAATTTGGGGTGATCAGAACCATACAACACTAGCCAGAGAAAATTCTCTCTGTGGAAAAAGGAAAAGAAAAGAAATACACATTTGAAAAACAAAACAAAAAATAACTCTTAAAGCATGTGGTTATCCTAACTTGGCCTTCATAAAATCAGCAAAGACGCACAAGAAATAATGTCAAACATGAATAAATATTATTTCCTATTCTAGTTCTGAACTTAAAGTACCTACTCTGGTGATGGTGTGAAAGAGTTTAAAAACCAATTTCCATAGTATTATTAGAAAGTTTAAAGATTTAGAAACACATTTGCAGTCATTTCTGGGGGAAAGAAGATCATGGGTGATTGGCATTTGCAACAGACAACATTTGCAACAGTGAATGCAGCCATGATTGTTGTATCATTGTTGCATCATCATGGAGATGAATAATGAGCCCAGACACACATCAAAGCTTTGCAAGAACTATGTGAAGACCTTTTGAAAGGGAGAAACTATCCAAAGATTATTTTTAATTATTTAAAGTTCGACTTTTTAGCTCTGGATATCACAATCAATATGCTTTTGGAGCTAGCCTCAAATGGCCACTGCTTTGAGCATGATTAATCAAATTTTGATCACAAGTCAATCACATCTAAAAGTTTTACAAACTCAGAAACAATTTGTTGGTGGGATCTCCTGAACCCATCTCGGCTATTATCCTAGTTGTTCTTTCTATAATGTTTTTAAGGTTTTCAAATTAAGGTCATATGCTTTATCCCATAGCTCAGAACAATAACTGAGATAAAGCAAGATTCAAAAAAGAAAATGCTTTTTGAGATTTGATTTACCATATCTTATATTTTCAAGAGAGCTTATGATCTGCTAGTAAGAAATTTGATTCAGTCACCATTTCAATCTTTGTTCCAGTAATATAACACCATTGTTATTTAATTATTAACAACGTCCAACAATGTATTTAATACATTGCCAGCCGGCGAGAAAACACACATTTGCTTGGTAAGTAAAAGGTCTGGTTTGTTTCCAGCTGGTGACACAAGTCAGGGCATCCGGTGTACAACTCATCAGCAAAAGGTACATATTGGATATATAGAACATTCGCACTCCAACTGTTACATCCAGAAATTGCTTTTTATAATCATGGAGCTCTACTAATGATTTCCTGTTACTTCGAGAACTTTGCAACCAGTTACATTGGCTATACCTCTGAAACGACAGCTCCACAGTTTTAAAATCAAAGTTACAGTTACGAGAAGCTTGACTTTCTGGGGAGCACCTGAAGGCAGCTCCATGGCCCCGCCCCTCTGCCAGACACGCACGTTACAGTACTCCCTCATTTTCTCACCCGTCTCTGTTTATATTTCCCTCCAACCAAGTGATTTACTCCAGGTGAATTTTCAGCTGACAGCAGGACAAACAGGACGACATTATCACCTCCACTTTTATCCACTGGACTCTCTTAAAGGTACGTTGTCCCGCATGTTTCACCGGCTTTGTTGCTTGCTCCCCTTTCCCCCTTTTTTGCTGGTAATTACAGTCATTAGCATCCATCTTGGTAGGAGCTAATTAAACCCACTGCAAGGAGACATGTTTAGCCCTGTGTAGTCTTCTAAACGTTGCACCTTTGTGTGTTTTATAAGGTTTGTAACTTCTGTCATGCTAAATATCCTTATTTAAAACAGTTGCCGAACACATTTATGCTTCTGTAATTAACATAGAGGTTAAAAAAAATAACATTGGTCTTCCTTCTGCATTGAGCCCCATGTTTTTCTCTTAGTAGCTTAGGATCACCTCACGGATATTAATGTGTTTTTTGGACTCAGATTAATCACTGCAGCACTTACTCACTTACTTGTGTTTTGGTGCTTCAGCTTGTTAAAGAGTTAGTCAACATCTCCATGGAAACACCAAGTTAAGCAGTGATGTCCACTTCCTCCAGTTTACACAAGCAGATAAACTACTGTCATTTTGATATACTGCATTAAGGAATTGAGCACCTAAATGCACCACTTATCTTGTGGCTGCAGCCATTACATCTTACACTAATACTGTGCAATACTGCAAATTATCGATCGATAACTGGTATAGATCAGATACCTAGTAAATACAAGGCCAGTATTCTGAATCATCGTGAGTTAATGCAGGAGTTAATGCAGATGTGTCATTAGTTTTTTATCATGATGTTGTGATTCTGTGTTAATTTTTGTGCTGATTTTACATATACTAAAGTCTCATTGAGATGAGACTGAATCTCTTTCCAGAGAGATCTGGCCAAGAGGTTAGAAGAAATTGCCACAAACATCACAAAACTTTAGTATTTCCACAAAAGTTGCAAGAAAGAAATTATACAATGAGGACTTTGATTACAACTACAAAAAATGCATCTTCAAATATTGATTCTGTTCATCTGGACGTAGCGTTTTCAGTGGGAGAAACGTTTCGTCACTCATCCAGTGACTTCTTCAGTCTCAGATGAACAGAATCAACTTTCGGAGATTTACTTACCTGGATGATTGAGCATGCTTCAAGATGTTTTAATACAAAACATACAGTTTGGTTGCATTCTGGGCAATGGAGGTTTGACATAGCTGCTTCATGTTTTGGCCCAGCCTTCGACGATTAAAATAATATATACATGTATTGCATTCATTAAAAGGGATTTTTCTTACAAACGTTAACCACTGACATTTGTCCAGTCTCTCACGATTGGCGTCTGCTGGTGCAGGAATTTATGGAGACGTATGATGAACTATTTTTGCTTAGCATTTAGTCAGTGTGTTGTGATTTCATTATTTTGTTTTGTTTTTTCTTTTTTGGTTGACTTTTATACAGTGTTTAAACAGAATTAATGTGCTACAACTGAAATTGAAAGGTGCTGCTCAGTTGCATTATGGGAAATGTTTTGGCCTCACTGGTTTAAGATATGATGAGAAATTCTGCTTCAGTTTTGGCCCAACTTCCAGCAAATAAAGCTTCATATTTCTAACAGAAAATTGTATGTATCTACATTTTTTGAAGTTCAACTCCATCTGCCTCCATGGCACTCTATCCCTAGCATCCTCCTCTGTCACACCAACCACCTGCATGTCCTCCTTCACTACATCCATGAATCTTCTCTGTAGTCTTCCTCTCATCCCTCTACCAAACAGTTTATTATTCAACATTGTTTGTCCAATATATCCACTATCTCTCCTCAGCACATGTCCAAACCATCTCAGCCTTGCCTCTCCAACTGTGTCTCCAAAACATTCAGCAGAGCCGTCCTTCTGCAGCGCTCATTTCTAGACGTGTCCATTCTGGTTATTCCCAGTAAAAATGTTAGCCTTGAAAATCTTCAGCTACGTCACCTCCAGCTCTTTTTTTTGTGTGCCACTGTTTCCAAACCATACATCATAGCAAGTCTCACTACCATCTTAAACCATTAGAGAGATTAAAGAGACATTAGATCATTTTGGTTTTCAGTGTATAATTGTACATGCTACACTTTGCTACTTTCAGACAAAAAGTTTGATTGATAGAAACCAATTTTGAGTTCATTTGGTGGCATAAAATTCATTATGTAAGAGAAAAGTGTCTAAACTCACAAGTCATGTTATTTACATTTCTTTTATAGCTTGTCACCCACTCTTCCTCCTACCTTGAAGAGTTTTTATCGTTTCAACACAGAGCCAAGCTCACCCTTCAAAGTCTTGTAAATACAGGGTGTGCGTCTTCATGTGTTGCAGGCAGCCTCTGATATTTGATCCCACTGTAAGTGCCACAGTAGAAATGATAAACAAAGCTTTCTTTACCTGCAGAAGCAGCTGTTTGTTTTATGCATGTGAGGAGGCTGAGCCGCATTTGAAACTGCTACCAGAAGTTTGTGACAGTAAACACTAGAATTTAGCTTAAAACATACATCACTTTAGATGGAGCGTTGTTGCATTACTCAGAAATATTTTCCACCTGGAGTTTCCTTTCCACATCTTCCCAGCAAAGGTGTGTCTGATTCAGAAACCTCTCCTGACTAACAAAGTACATTTCATGTTAATGAGTGATAAAAAATAAGAAAAACAGCATAACACTGTAGTGAAGCAGAAATTAGGACATAATCAATCAATGCTTAACTTGTGCTTTGTTCATGATCTCCTATTGAGTGTAGTAATGTGTGATATGTTATGAACTCATGGTTCTTGATTAATAAATGACGAGGCCTTTGCACAAAGGTAAAAGCAATGCTCACTGCAGCAGTAAAGCAGACAGATTATTTTTAGTTTAGTTTTTTATCTTTTTCAATCATTAATCATCAATCATTTACCAAAGGCCCACAAACCCACTGATGTCATGAAAAGCTAACACTCGGGTCACTTACTTATTTAACTGCACTCAATTTCTGATCAATGTGACGTCAGTTATAGAGGATAAAAATACCTTAGTGGTTCCATTAATGCACTTAGTGCATTATTCTGATGTATAGATACTCAGAAGTTGCTATTCCTCGCTATTCCTCATGCATTATTACTGTGTTTCAGACGTGATAAA